TAACAAAAATAACTCTTAATAAAACTATAAATAAAAGAAATATTATTTAAAAAAAATATTATTTAAAAAAAATTAAAAATTTCCCTGCACCCTGCTTGAACATGGTACCTCAGGCATACCACGCGAGTGCTTTGCTCTGTCGGCCATTGCGACTGTTGGAGCGCCGCGAGTAAAAAGGCATACTAATGCTTTTCATAGGGGATGAATTGGCAGACTATCTCATCAACTGGTATGATGCTACTAGTATTTCTACCAGTAGATGCTGATGCATAGCCTGACAATTGACATCTCGTAGGACATCGCAATGCTAAAAATACCAGTCGCTAACATTGAAAAAGGATAGAACGTGAACTAGTTGGGCTGAAACGCAAACTGGTAGAATTCGAGTTCACAACTAGTAGCTTTCCCTGCAGGGGTTATTACTGAATTTTCTGCGTAAAAATATTCAATATGAAAATACTATTTATTTTTTTATGAATATGTAATAAATATTTACATCGTACATTCAAATTTACTTCGGTTAATTTTTATTTTATTATTTATTTAATCTTATCTACTACTTTTAATTGTCGAATACATTAAATAAAGCACTTATGATAAAGTAAATTAAGGTGTTCTACAACAAAGTGTGTAAATACAAACGTATGTGGTACATATGAAAATATAATAACATTAATCGCCAACACTAAAAAATATCCCGTCATGGTCGCTGAATGAGGTTTCATATGTTATCGCCCTTGTTGTGTCTGCAGAAAAACTTGCCAATAACCAATCAATCGCGGTTTGTTGCTTTATAGTAGGTAGATGTTCCAGTAAGGAATGCAATCCTAGTTGGCTTAAGCGTGTTCCAAGACCATCATTTGACGTAATACGACAAACATTAAAGTCTCCAACAACTATTAATTCTCCATTATTTCAATTAATCAGCTCCTTTATATCTTCTTCCAATATTCTTCCATATAACAAAATTACCTACAATAAATAGTCTTGAAGCACTTGTTGCTCTACTGCATACGACGTACAATGCTGATCGGCTCATTCCCTTCTTAGTATGAATAGCAACCAATCTGTAAGTTGCTCCTTGGCTTTTGTGTATTGTTATTGCCTCTGCTGGTATTATAGGGAACTGCCTTCTTTCTATCGAAACTTGCTCGTTTCTTCTATATTAGAAGGTGCGCACTACTTTCAATTGGTGTGCAGCTCGGTGCGTGGGGGTGAGGCTTTTTGGAACGTGCTATTACTCCAATCCCCGGCTCGGAAAAGTGCATCCAAAGTATTACTGGTGTCCGTTCGGGGCTTCGATGGTGCATTTGCATTAGTCGGCCCGTAGCTCCATTTACCAAACCATCTGGAGTATTAGTGTTGACTGTAATCATGTATTTTGCAGAGGTTTTCAGTTGTAAACTGTAGCACATTCCTTGTGTCTCCGATACTTTAAAATTTTTAATGGCATCCAAAATAACCGTTTTACTTCGCTCCGAAACAAAGTTCGCCTTCACGCTGTCTTTTGCTGTAGAGATAAACTCTTCTGTGGCGACTTCAGCCAATCTTGCAGTATTATATAGAGATATGTCTGCGTTGGAATAAAAAAGATGAATACAGTCGTTGGGTATCTCGTTAAAATTGGTTTCTTTTGCTTTAATGAGCTCAATATCATCAGATGTCATATTTCCTTCGGACATGTTGTTGAGAGTAACGGCAAATGCTTGATCTTTTCTTTGGCGCATTATTTCGGTGAGTTCGAAGAAACGGAACAAACCCCATAGTGGTGTGCCAGTAATTGCGCTATATGGATCCGATTGGTTTGGGGAGAAAATCCATCTGTCTCCTACTGGCGAGAGTTTCTTTAAGTCGCCAAAAACAATTAATGGTATACCTCCAAAATACTCGCTACAGCGAAATATTTGTTTTAAACGGGCATCTAAATATCCAAACATTTTGGCACCGACCATTGAAGTTTCATCAACTATTATTAACTGAAGGTCTAATAGGTTTGAATATATAGAATTAACACTATCATTGCTGAGAGGGCGTAATTCAGTTGAGGATTGGTTTATCGGCATGGAAAAAATCGAGTGCAAAGTTGCGCCTCCAATTTCAAATGCGGCTTTTCAAGTAGGAGCACACAATAAGACTTTAATTGTCTCGGGATTACTGCCGGATAAGCTGTTTGCTCGTGTTGTCAGTGACTGGTATATAGCGGAAATTAATCGGCTTTTTCCTACTCCAGCTCCGCCTCCAACGTATTCGTAAAAGTGTCTCTTCAGCTTCATGTTATGGTGAACATGATAAAAATATTCCCGCTATTTTTTGCTCAAGGAGCGCACAATTGAGAGCAGCTCATTTTCTTGAATAAGTATAGGTAGCCTTATGAGCCTGACCTCCTCCAAGTTTGGGTCCTGTGGATCATCGCTTTAAAAAACGTAGACATCATTGCCGATTTCTGGAATAGCTAGTGCTAGTATAAACTCTTCATCCAAGAAAGGGGTAACATCAACCTGAACATCTTTCTCTGCTGTGTGCTGATTTAAGTACTCTAAACTACTTTCGAGCTCACGGTCTGAGAACTTGTCGTATTTCTGCTTGTTCTCTTCAATAATTGATTTGTTGTCATTACAAACTCGCTCTGTGTGCACATCGATTAAATCAGCTGCTTCGCTACGCCAGGGATAAAATAGCATAGCCATTTCCCGAAAGTAGTCTGATCGAGAATATTCAACACTAAAACGTCTCCACCTTAATATAAGAGGGCGCTTTCTCTTCCAGATGAAACCGCTCCTATCATTTAATTGAAGCCGGAGCTCGTTTGCTTCAGAATTTTCACCAACTGGTTCGACTTCTTCATTGTCCTCGTTTTCAAGTGTAGACACTGTTCTTGTTTTTGAAAATCAGTACAAAGCAGCAAAATCAGCAAGACAGAGTTGCTCTAGCCGACTTGGCCTTTGAATATAATGATCCAGTAAGTTCGGCACATAAATATCAGTTGAATCAGCAGGAAGCCTTTCTACATAGATCACTTTTCGGGCTCACCATTCTGACTCTCTTGTCTGGGTGTGACGTATTAATAAAAATGTCTCCTTCGCTGGCTTCTGAAATATGGAGACCCAAAATATTATAGGATGCTTCTTGGGAGGACACCTCCGATGCGTTAACAAATTTATTGCCTATGTGCTGTAATTTTTGCTTAATTGTGAAATTTCCGTCATTTATTTCATCCATGGCTTGTCTTAGCAGCTGAGATGCCCCTCTATTAGATTTGTTGATATAATTTATTATGTAGCTGCAGCATGCATAGGCGTCAAGTATGAACTGAATGTCTATATTTTCTCTATGCAAACGCAAAATGTCGCTATTAAATGCTCCAAATGATTCTCGGTCTGCAACAAGGATTTACAAAACATCCCTGTTTTCTTTGTCTTTGGGAAAGTCGTGCGCGACTTCAACATTATACGCAAAAGGATTGGCCAAAAAGAGAAAAATTGGGAATTGGTTTTGAAAATGTCATTCATGAAAACATTGTTGACCATGAAAATATTTTGTTACCACCTCTTCACATTAAACTGGGATTAATAAAACAATATGTAAAAGCACTGAATAAAAATGGCAAATGTTTTCAATATGTTAAATCGAAATTTCCTAATTTAAGTGATGCCCTCATGAAAGATGATCATTTTGTCAAAAGTATGGATTCTTTGGAGAAAAGTGCCTGGTTGAGTTTTAAAGAAGTTGTACAAAATTTTTTAGGAAGTAATCGGGATCAAAACTATAAAACTATGGTTTCTACGATGTTATCGAATTTCAACAAGTTAGGTTGTTTAATGAGTTCTAAATTGCATTACCTTTTTTCGCACTTGGACAGGTTCCCAGAAAATAATGCAGCTAAAAGTGAAGAAATGGGTGAAAGATTCCATCAGGATTTCAAACAAGAAGAGCAACATTATCAGGGTAAATGGGATGAGAGAATGATGGCAGATTACTGTTGGTCTTTGAAAAGAAATGATGCATTTACCGAACATCGTCACCAATCACTTAACCGATCATTTGAAGTAAAACGAAAACGTTTTCACAAGAACACTAAGAAATGTTAATTCTGAAATACTTAAACCGAGTTTGAACGCCCAAAAAAGACATTAAAAAACGAAAAAAAAATATAACAAAAATAAATAAAATGAAAAAAACCAAAAAAATATAACAAAAATATATAAAATGAAAAAAACCAAAAAAAAAACATGGAGTCATCACCGCCACGGCCATCGATTCGTGACTCTGGGTTCGGCTGAGAGCAGTAACAAATTTTTAATTAACAAAATATATAGAAGTAGGTCTTACAAAAGCCATATGCTAGATGAAAATCAATCTCATTATGTTAATACATATGAAACCCGCGATTTTTAGCGTTTTTCCATGAAAATTATGAATTTTCAGAATTTCGGTGATGTTTCCCAACTTTCCAACCTCGAACTTCGGATTTAGTGGGTCAAAATACAAAAATAACCTTGTTAAATCCGTGAACAAAAAGTGCTGCGGATAGTACACATGGCCGCTATGTTACTTACATGATTTTCAAGATAAAGGAAAGTTGGAAAATCCGTAAACTTAAAATGGTAATATCTCAGCGAAGCAAAAAGATATTGTAGCAAACTCAGCACCATTTCAAAGAGAAAGACTTGTACTTTAACACCTTTTTTTGTATTTTTTTGATAGAAATTACTCTGGCTTACATAGACAACTTCAAAAATGGACAAAAACGGCATTTTTTGCACTTATAGGTTAGAGTATCTCAAAATCCTGATGTCATAGAGCAATTCTGTGGCCAGATTTGAATTCAGCGCACCGAAAACCTTCGGGAAAGTATAGTCTGGATTCTGGGTAAAAATTTTGTCGGCCTGTGTTATCTTTCAATTTAATATATACAGTCCGACATTAAAAATTTCTCCGGGATAAGGTTAGCCATTCCTAATAGATTTTGGGGTGCTAAATTTGTAAATATGGGAACTTATGTATTTGAATTTTAAGAA